GGGCTCCCAAGGGAGGTGGTGCTCTCCCCTACCCTGGGGGTCTTCAAGAAGAGGTTACATAAGCATCTAGCTGGGGTCATCTGAACCCAGAACTCTTTCCTGCCTATGCAGGGGGTCGGACTCGATGATCTAGTGAGGTCCCTTCTGACCCTAACATCTATGAATCTATGAATAACTGTAGCAAAATTGTTTTTAGGTATTCAAAGTGCTGAAAAAAGTTTGGAACATTTGTTTTCCGTAGAAAATAATATAGGCCCTGTGCTGTTATTGCAAAAGGTAAAGAAACGTTACCATTCTATTTCTGATCCAGGGACCCTAAAAAACTGCAGAAATGGCAAAAAGGCTCTATGAGCACCAGTCCCTGCTCTAGGGTAGACTAGTGATTGGAGGACTGTTCTGTATTTCCACATCATGATATAGGTTTACATGCTTGATTTTTTTTTTTCAGTCTCACCAAACAAGCCTTCCTGCCTCCGTAGTCTGATCACTCAGGTATTATCCAGCTGAAATCATTAGATTTCAGCCCTGCAATCCTTTATACTTGTGCTTAATTTTTTGCACAGCCAAGGCTTAATTTTTTGCACAGAAATACTGATGTAAAGTTATTTTCCAGATTTGTGTGTACCATATTTACTCTATTCTAAGATGAAGTTCACCAATTGAAGTGGGGGGGTTGTCTTAGAATCAAGTAAAGGGGGTCAGGCAGCTGCTGTGGCTCCAGCTCCAGTAGGGACCTTGGGGTCAGAGCTGTAGTCACAGCTGCTGCCTGCCCTCCCAGCTTCTCCCTTGCTGCCTATATACCTTGCCGTCTCTGCTCTGCAGCCTCTTCCCCCACCCCCCAACTTCCCCTTCAGCCTCTGCTCCCCTGCCTACCCTTCTCCCTGCCCTTCTTGCTTTTGTTTTACATTGGCAGGCTCCATCCACGCTGCAGCCTGGGGCATTAAGCATGGCCCCAGCTTGGCCTCATAGCTGGTATGGAGCCTGGGCTGAGGCCATGCCAGGCTAGAACAGAAATGGCGCGAGCTGGTGTGGAGTGAGGGGGCTGGGGATGGAAAGGGGGAGAGCAGAGGCGGGGTGGGGGGCAGGCACAAGCAGTGGGGGAGGGAGGGGTAAGTTGCTTGCACCCTTGCAGTAGTGGGAGGGATGAATTAAAGATAATCCTCTAATAATTAGATTCTATACATGGAAAATTATAACATTTATAGCTAACAAATTTAGAATCTAATTATTGGGTGGTTGTCTTAAATTCAGGTCATTTTATACTCAAGTAAGTACAATACTTGCATGTAACCATTATTGAGTTACTTGTAGAAAATCCTCTGTCTGCCATTGGAGAAGATAGTTCCTTAATCACTATTTAGAATACTTATTTTTTCATTTGTATTTTAATTAAGTTCCAAATTAAAAAATACCTACATAATCCTAAATTCCAGGAAAAGGTAGTTTACTGGTTGATGTAGGGTCTTGGAACAGTATAACTTTGGCATGGTCATAGTTATACATTTGTACTCAGTAAACTCTGGGGGGTTGATGCAGAACAAGACACAACTATCCATTAACTTTTATAATGTATTGTTAATGAATTTTTAATTAAACATGCTTTTAAAAATATAGGTATTCTTAATGTATGTTATCAAGTTTATTTTAATGTTACTTTGCTTCCATCTTCCCCACAGAATTATTCTAAAAAAGGTGCAGAACAAGGAGTTCCTTCGTTCTTAATGGAGAACGAGAGAAGATCAGAAGGTAATAAAAGACAACAGACTGTTAAAATCATTTATGCTTGAGAAAAAGGCCCCTCTAGAATAAAATATTATAAAGCAGTTGGATTTATATCTTTTTCAGTATAAAATAGTCAAGAGGTTGCAATTCAAGGGTTTCTGTAATAAAATTAAGTTAATTTTAAATCTTGGTTTGTAATATTAGCAGTTCTAGTCTATTGTGTTGTATCATATTAGTTCTTAATGTGCATCACCAGTGAATCAAAGTACTTCTTAGAAGAGCATTAAGCTATATAGCCAGAACTTTTCAGTGTCTCCTGTTATCACTCAGGTGTTTCCTAACTTTTCATAAAAGATTCAAAAGCATGCAAATTGTATCCCGAAGACTTTGCTTGAAGACATTAGCCTGAGGTTAGTAATTGCTGTAGCGTGTCTGCATGTGTTTTCAATGGAAAATGGTATATTTTCCAAATGAAATTTGGTTGCTATTGGGGAAGTGACAATGAGATGTATTTTAGTTAAATGGGTGAAAGCTGATCCTTATGCTTGTTTTTTAAAAATAAGTAGTTATAAAATTCAGCAGTATTAGGAACATGACAATTCTCTCTTTTTTTGATCAAGTTGTAAGAAACGAGCGGCATCAATGTTATGTGCTTACACTTCTATAAGGTTTTTGGTTGTAGTTGTGTTGGTAGGATATAGGTAGGCAAGGTTCTTTGGGTAGATGTGATGCCTTTTATTAGACCAACTGAGTATTTGGAAAAAAAATTCTTAGCAAGCTTTTGGGTTCAATCACCCTTTTTCAGTCATAGCAAGTCTCTGCTGTTTTGAGACGCTAAGGAATGAGAGAATATCACACTTTTCGCTTCTCTCGTTCCTTGGAGTCTTAGAACAGCAGAGACTTCCTATGCCTGATGAAGGGTGACTGCGCCCAAAAGCTTGCTACAAACATTTTTCCAACTACTCAGCTGGTCTAATAAAAGATTTCACATCTACTCAAAGAACGTTCCCTGCCTAGACTTCTGTAAAGCATTTGATTTGGTACAGCCTGTGATTTTGAGTAAGCAGCAGGAGCACTGTAAAATCACAATGGTGCACATCAAATGCACTTAAAAACTGGCTAATTGAGAGGCCTCAGTTGTAATTGAGAAATCCTCATTAAGGGGTGTGTGTTTGATAGAACCTTGTCAGAGTTGGCACTTGCCCCTGTGCTTTGTGACATTCTTCTCATTCATCTGGAAGAGAAAAAAAAGTGCAGATGACACAAGGACTGGAGGAGCAATGATTCATAAGTAGGTTGCTGGTAGAAGTGATCTGAAGTGCTTGGTGCCCCATGGTCACGCTTCAAGAAGAGTGTTGCAGAATTGGAGAGGGTTTAGAGAATAGCCATGAAAATGATAAAGGGGTGGAAAATGTGCCATATAGTGAAGGGTTCAAAGAGCTCAATCTGTGTAGTTTGTTAAAAAGGTTAAGGAGTTATTTAATCACACTGTATGTTTCTGTTTCTGGAACAGAAATTTGATACTGGAGGGGTTTTCAGGATACTGATTTGTTTGGCTCCAAGACCAGGTTTTCCCCCCATTCATCACGGGGAAAACAAAGCCTCACCTTAGAATGATGTATCAGACTCCTCCAGCTGCCAGCTGCAAGAAGTGGCTGTGCAGGAAGTCAAGCTGTGGCAGGGACTGCTTCGGCAGTGTGCAGGCTCCTGCTTTCAGCTCTGCGGGAAGGTCGGTGCCCCCGGATCTGCATAGGGCAGGGCGGGCTCGGGCCAGGGCTGCACCAAGCTCTTCCTGGTGGGGCGGGGCTGTGCCCAGGCGGGCGGTGGTGGCACTGGTTGAGAGGGATGGGGGGCAAGGGGTACAGCAAATTTGGGGGTGGTTGCAGCTCCCCTTACCAATGCCGCCACCGCCTGTCCCAAGAGTAACCAAGCTCCGCTGGGAAGAGCTTGGCATGGCCCTAGCCCCAGCATGCCCTGCCCTACCCCGCGCAGATCCAGGGGCACCTGCCCTCCTGGACAAGTGGCTCCTGGACGAGTGGTGCACAGTGTTGGGCTGTGGCTCCATCCCGTGCCTGCCCTGCAGCCGAAATCTTCCCTCACTGCAGAGGCCTTGATCTGCCCCCGCTGATGTCCCTTCCCTTTCCCTTCTCTCTTCCTCTTCCACCACACCAGACTTATCAGGTGCACACAGCTCTCTGACCTGCTGGGTTGTGCTTTTCGCCGCCTACATTCTGAGCTGCGGCTGCGTGCATGCACAGGCCATTTATCGGTCAAATTATCAGCCTGATATGGCCGATTTTCAATACAAACAATGTTCTTTCTGTTGGTGCCGATCTGATATCAGACCAATATATCAGTGCATCTCTAAATATAAATGACGTTAGGAATGCCAGTTTGGAAATATAGTTCTATTGCAGATCAGTTGTTGTGGTCAGCTAATTTGTGCAACTCTTTTGCTCTTAGTTTGAGAGAGGGAACAGATTTGTAGAGTAAAGAAAGTGCCAGCTTTACGTACTAGAAATGCAGAAATCTAGAACTCTTGGTTCAGAGAATGATACCTTTTATTAGACCAACTGAGAAATTGCAAAAAATTCTCTTTTTCTGCATACAAAAAACTAGAACTCTTGGTTCCAAAATGATACCTTTTATTAGACCATTAATAATTTTATTAGCTTTTTCTGCCAGCTTTTGGGCTCGCATACCCTCCGTCAGGCTCAGGGAAAGTTAAAGGTGGTAAAAAGTTCCCATCTGTAGGAAAGAAACTTCATTTTTGTGCAGAATTTCATTTTTATCACCTTTACCTACTCATGTTTCAGAAAATAACTGAGGAGATGACACATTTTAGGAACAACCAAATTTCACAGACTTGTGGAAAAGTGAACAAACAGTAAAATAAATGATTTTCGTAAGGTTAAAAATCAAACTGTTTTACTCTTTATTGTTAGTTGCGGTTTATTATAATACTTCAGTTGCTGCTCTCATCATGGAGAAAGGAGGGCTAAGTCTTCTTGAACGAGACGCAAAATAGGAACATGTTTTTTGTTAAAGAACCAGCCTCGGTTATATGAAACCTTGCTTCAACTTGTTTCGGTCTTTTCTGAGAGGGAGGCGAAAGGTTGTTATGTTTTGCATGAGTTAAAGTGCTCAGTTTAGTAATATGTAGATTATCTCGGTTGTATTTTACGTAAGTTTGTCGCAAGTAGTACTGCTTTTCAAATACTGCACTAAATCGGCTCGTGATAACTCATTTGGAAAGAATGTGTAGTGAGGGAAGATCCCCATTATCAAACCTTTTAGAGCGTTTAATGGTTATTGAAAGCTTTTGCTGCACTTTACTGAAATAAAGCAAAAGCTCTAATGCCATTCAATTCTAGCTGTTATTTCATAATTCGGTGACTTCATTTTTGCAAAGTTTTAATTGTGCAGTGAACATGTATGTCTCTGTTATAGCACACAAGGTCAAAACTGTCACTAGCTTAGAAGCCTTTTAAATGCTTCAGGGGTTACCTTGAAATGTTGATGTAAGATGCCAGTTATTTTCAAAGTCCACTAAAATGTAATACATCATTTTAGCCCTGTGCTACACAGTGCCTGATATTTATTTGTCTTTTCATAATTTGAAATTATTACCTGTGAAGAAAACAACTGCATTTTGAAATGGAGAATGTAGCTCGTGTAGTTAGCTTTCATGCATAGAAATTGCTCTTAAGTTTTGCTGAAATAACCTTTTTTAATTCTTTCTCTTATAAAATGAGACTTGAAAATTAAATTGACAAAATATGTTCTCATTTTATAGCAGGCGACACTTTTATTTCTCAATATGCCCCTGGCCAGAAAGAGGCTTTACGAGCTGTATTAAAGCACAGGTAAGTGGTAAAGTCTCAAATGTTCAGCTTCTGTATGTGAGAGGGTGTCTGGCTTCCTCAGACCTTCCTAGAAAGAAAAACGATATTGGTTACTTACTCTCCTCATCTAGCGTTTTGTTTAAGCTTTAGGAATGAATTTTATGGTGTCGTATCTGCCATACAGTATTTTTACTGTTTTATGCAGTTTTTAATGCTTTAAAAATCTTTTACACTAATGGTTTAGTAATACAGAAATCAAGCAAGCATTATTCTGATTATCATTTACTTAGTGCCCAGTGCATGTAGATATTTTTACAAATAAATAAAGATACAAGGCCCTGGTCCCTGGGAGGTTTTAACTTGGATGTTAGACTGGTTATGAAACGTGCTTAAGGTCAAATTATATGATAATTTAGTAAAACATTGAAATAGGCAAAAAACAGCTTTTAAATACATCTATGTCATGACTGCATAGACTTGCCTGTATAAATGGTGCATTTGCAACAAATATTTATCCTCTTATTAAAACAAAGATTTAAATAAAATTATAGTTCTTCAGTGTTAGTGGTTTAGAAGAAATAGCTTTTTTTTTAAAGAGGCTTTTTTGGAATAGTGAAAAGGTGCATGTTTGGGTAGTAGCATGGTGGGTAATTTATAGGGAAGAACTTGTCTTTTAAAGTGGAATTGGACAAGAATAATGTCATTTATAGGAACATGTCTTGTGTTCATAGGGCCCAAAATGCTCCTGTATTTAAGGAGGTGAAAGTACAGCTCTTAGAAAGTGCATCCACAGAAAAGGATGGTGCTATGCAAGAGGCCAGGTCGGGTCACAGCGAGGTTGATTCAACTACAACCGTAGCAGCTGCCACAGCTGCTGCCATTGCTACCACAGCTCCACTTCTTAAAGTAAGTCATTTTTGGCAAGATCACTTCTTTGTTGTATTAAATAGTAGCAATAGTAAGCTGGTATGAGTTGATTGATACTGGAGTCCCCACTCTTTCATTTATACCCTCTTCTAATTTCTTCCCCATCAGCGCCCTGCAAATGATGCAGCTAATGAGATGTGTAGCAGGGAGAGACAGAAGGCCACAACCTTTTAATGTGGTCAGATGTGTTTTGTGTATAAGTAGGCAGATTGTGTTTCCATGAATAGTTCAGTGTAGAGGAGCAAGGCGCTTTTGGACAGGTCCAATCACTTGTCTTTCGTCGGTGTTGATAAATCCCCTTTATTTTTGCTTTAATTTTTGTCTGCAGCATAAATCTCCTGGTAAAATCTGGATGATCAAGAGGTTAGGCCAAAACCTATAAGCTTAAACAAATGTGGCTGTGACAGAATAGGCAGTCTAGTACTGTTCAAGCCTGAAAGAGGTCAGATAATGGGATGCAATCTTACTGTGCAAGTTGCTGCCATAATTCAAAGGAGAGAAGCCAGGTTTGCATTGGCTTGAATGTAAAAAGAATGAATAGGGTCTGATTCAGGTGAAATACTAGCAAGACAAGATGTGGTTACTAGCTGGCACTTTAAAAAAAGCCACAAAAATCAATTTGCTTGAAGCTTATATAAAATAGGATGTAACTTCTTGCAGCGCACAGTATACAAACCAAGAATGGCAGCTGTCTGAAGGTCTTAGCTCACGTACAGGCATGGTCTATATAGTATGGAAGTAAAGTGTACATGTTGTGGTTAAGGCAATAGACTGGGGCTCGATCTGTGCTTATTTCCCAGCTTTGTCATAGATTAACTGTATGGCCCTGGGGATGTCTGTTCCTGTGCACTTCAATTATTTTGAACCCTTCTGCAGTACAAAATGCTCAGATATAGTGAGCTGTACAAATACTTATGTGGGTGGCCACCTGCTCCTCTGCTGATTTGTATATCTTCTGCTCTGCAGGAAGTGGGTTTCTCACAGTTCATATTCATATTAATCCTGGAAAGAATTGTCTTGTTGAGACTAATTGCTCGATGACTAAGAATCAGACTTTCAGATGGCTGTTCTCATTTCATTTCCAGCATTGCCATGTGGTTGGGATTCTCTCAGCCACTTCCTACGTCACTAAAGTTCATTCCTTGTTTACATGGTTCCCTTCTCATCCATTTCTTTCAGGTTTTGTTATTCATTAGATGTTATTTCTTTCGTTTCTGAATTAGACTTTTAATTTCAAAGGTGGCCCATCTCATCTGTTTGTGTGCTAGTGAGCTCAGAAATAATGAGCCAGTAAATTGAGGGGAGCTATAGATTAACTTAAATCTCTCTCTCTCTCGCTCTCTTTTTTTTTTTTGGCCAAGCAGTAGTTTACATTAAAAGTTAGTCTCTAGTAGTCTATGAAAATTACTCACTACCTACCTTAAGTGGGGATTTTATTCATTGTATTTGGCTAAAAGGAGTTTTGCTATGCATGGACACTACCTGTTAAGCTCCTTTTAGAAAGTGTTCCCTTACTAAATCGCAAAAGATCAGCACTAATTATTATTATATTTATTTGTATCTTTCTGGAACAAAATAGAGATGCTAATATGGGGGTATAGTTTTTTTTTTCTTGGAGGGAGGTGTTTTGGGAGTGAATAGGACTAGTATTAGCACCTGCTTTCTCTAGTCTCTGGTTTTACACTATATAGATAAACCTCTCTCTATATTATAACTGAGTTCTAGATTCTCGTTATTTTTCCCTAAGGTTCAAAGTGATTTGGAAGCCAAAGTTAGCTCTGTTTCAGCACTGCTTGATAAACTACAGGAGACAGACAAGCAATTACGACGTGTGGCAGAACAGCAAATAGATTTAAAAACTGGGAGGCCCCATTGTCATGACCGAGTCAAAGAGCTAGAAAAACAGTTGAATATTTTTATGGAACAACGGATTCAGCATCTGGAAAAGTTACAGCAACAGCAAATGAATATTCAGGTACCTGCACAAAAACATGGACTTTCTTGTTATAACTGAATAAGTAATGTTTCCCCAGTCAGGGGCTAAAAGCCTGCATAATTACATGCTCAGAACTTTAGGCAGGTAACTAATTCCTTTAAAATACATTTTGTAACTTTTCCTTGTAGTCTCATTTCATTAACTCAGCAATCAACTCAGCTGGGTTCCAGCCAGTAAATGTACCATCCTCAAGTCTGACGACAAAGCTTTCTACACAACCGGAGCTACAGCAGCCTGTTACCAACCAAGTATCTTCACGTCAGAAGGATTTATTTTCTACCAATGCTGTACCTGCTCAAGGTGAAGAAAATAAGTTAATACAGCTATTTGGCTTTATTTATATCGTGATTTTGTTTTCATAAATACTGTACATAATACATAACAAGTATTTTTGCACAACCCATTTTACCTTCTTTAAATTATTATAAAGAAGGTTTTCAGTTTAGGTAGTACATAATATTAAAGCGACACTTTTATATTTACTGGGGATTTGCACTTGAGGACTCCAAGACTTGAATAAAACAGAAGTTTATTGGAGGAGAGAGATGTAGAACCTTTCCCATACATCTTGAATTAAACTCTTGTTGGTCACCCTTTCAAACACTGAATTAACCACCTGTCTAGTTGGTGGAAATGTTTTACATTTTTGTGACAATTTTAACTTTTTTGCATGTTTTTAAAAGATTTGTTTTCCTTTCAAAAATTAACTTTGAATTAAAAGTGTAAAGTTATTTAAGTGTTCAATATTTTTTCCTGCATCTTAAGCATATCCAAGTCAGTTTGGAAGGTATGGCGTTAATACACAGAAATCCCCTCTAAAGACACCAGTTCCTCGGAGGCATGCTCCTGAACCTGTATCAAAAGATGAGAAAATCGTACAGAAAACCTCAAAGAAAGAGAGGCCTAGGGCAGAAAAGGAAAACATTCCCAAGTCAACTTATGGAGGCCTCATGGGTAAGACTCAGAGAAGGGATCAGAGAGAGCTTTACTTTTGCCCTCTGCTAATATGGACATGACAAGGGGCTGTTTATTGCTTATCAGCTTCACTTTTTTCTGAAAGCTAAATTGGGTGTGTGCATGTGAAATTTCTGAAAGTATGCTGGTCAGTGCAGGAAGTCAGTGAATGATGTCTTGAGTTAAGGCAATGCTGTCCGTTCTTGTACAGACTCTGGACAAGGTCCCTTACTTCGTTGTAATAGAAGAACAAAGTAACTAATGAAGATTCCTCGTCAAGTTGAAAGAGAATGTTTAATGGAGTTCGGTCTGTTTCAGTCCTATTTCATATTTTCGTTTAGGACTTGAGCGAACTGGAGAACATTGTATTTCAAAGCCTTATTTGTTAATCCTTACTTCAATGAAACTACTAATCTTTGAGTAAGGAAATAATGACTGGACCTAAAATTTGTGTGATACAAACCTTAAGTGTTTCATGAATTTTGAAGCACAGGTTTAAAGCTTTGCTTAGCCATTACTGCACTGGTAAACCAATTTGAAATAAGTAAAATAAGAATTCAAGTGAAATGCTTCACATAAGAAAGCATTGTCATACCTCTGAACATATAGGGTGGGGTGATACTTGATAGGTTAGAAGAGTTCTAATGAAAAAAAAATAGACGGCAGAGTTGGAAGAAGGGAGATATTGTGTGTGTGTAAAACAAATGAGGCAGTGTAGTGGTCCTGCTTGCTACTGATTTGGCAACACAGAATTCAGTTTTGAGCACTACTGTTTAAAAAAACCAAAAAAAAACCCAGAAACAACAAATTATGTCCTGTTAAGTGACCTGAAGATGAATATATTACATTTTAAAGCTTGTCTTAACTATATCCCGACTATGCACTATGAGGAGAGACTGGGGCACCTGGACCTCTTCAGCCTCCGCAAGAGAAGGTTGAGAGGCGACCTTGTGTAATAATTAAAGCTTGTCTTAACTATATCCCAACTATGCACTTGTTCCAACTAAAAATATCACCCTAGGAAATCCTTCCCCCTCTGTTAAATGCAAGTATTCAGGAGGGGAACTCCCTCCCCACCCCAAACCCTGATTTGGGAAAACAAGACTTATGAAGAAGACATCAAAAACAGCCCAGCCTTCTCGCTCTGAACTTGTGTGGACTTAGTGAGCTCCTGCTCACACTACTGCTTTTTTCTTTGTAAATCAGCAGCAAGCAGGCCCAGATTTCCTTCTTGATGCTCTCCAATCCTTAGCATATACAATGCTTAAATTAGGGTGTCTCTACCAGTCTCCAGCTCTCTACCTCTGTATTTTCTCATTCCTTTTTTCCAACATTTTCAAACATGTACCATCCTTTCAAGTCTCTGAACTTATTGCTTCTGGCAATCATCAGAAAGTTACCCAAATCAGTAAGAATGCATACCATAGATTCATAGATGTTAGGGTCGGAAGGGACCTCAATAGATCATTGAGTCCAACCCCCTGCATAGGCAGGAAAGTGTGCTGAGTCTAGATGACCCCAGCTAGATGCCTATCTAACCTCCTCTTGAAGACCCCCAGGGTAGGGGAGAGCACCACCTCCCTTGGGAGCCCATTCCAGACCTTGGCCACTCTAACTGTGAAGAAGTTCTTCCTAATGTCCAGTCTAAAGGTGATACTTCCCCTCTATCGGGCACTGGTCAGACCACAGTTGGAATACTGCGTTCAGTTTTGGGTGCTACACTTCAAGAGAGATGTGGATAACCTGGAGAGGGTCCAGAGAAGGGCCACTCGTATGGTTAAGGGCTTGCAGGCCAAGCCCTATGAGGAGAGACTGGGGCACCTGGACCTCTTCAGCCTCCGCAAGAGAAGGTTGAGAGACGACCTTGTGGCTGCCTATAAGTTCATCACGGGGGCACAGAAGGGAATTGGTGAGGCTTTATTCATCAAGGCGCCCCCGGGGGTTACAAGAAATAATGGCCACAAGCTAGCAGAGAGCAGATTTAGATTGGACATTAGGAAGAACTTCTTCACAGTTCAAGTGGCCAAGGTCTGGAATGGGCTTCCAAGGGAGGTGGTGCTCTCCCCTACCCTGGGGG